ATCACGATCTTGTTTCATACCACTTGTCATTCAAGGTTTCAAGCCGTCTAAATGTCAAAGAGGTGTCAAATCATTGGCAAGTTTTACTGTGCAAAGTATGGATTTGTAAGTGGTTTATGTTCAAATGGGATTAATCATCAATCACTGTTGCCTTGTGATGATTTCGGCATTAGAATAACCTACAACTTTACGCAGAGTTTGATCTTGTATAGATATACTCTCACTTTATTCACTCATAACTAACATAGAAAATGATAATTCCAATTAAACCATGTATACAGTATACATTAATGTATTCCTGTATGCTAATCACTGCCTTATCGACATCGCAATAAGTTTCGGACTCAACTGCTGTCCAGCTCAAATTGGCTAGTATACCTTGAGATTTCCCTCCTGCCGGTTCATTTACATCTGGTAAGTACAGCTACCTGGTGCATTCAATTCTACAATTAATTAATGTTATTTTAAAAGAGCTTACAACTCGTTCAGCTCAGCGTTTCCCGCGTTATGTTACTGTAATGCTCTAAACAAAAGTTCCATTCACAAAATCATAGTAACTGAAAAAAAGCTCTGGAGGAAGCTAAACAGAGTGTTAACTTCTAATAATAAAGAATAAACTGTTGTAAATATTACTTTCGAAAAGTTTTTGAATAAAGTTAAGTTGTTAAAATTAAGTGTGCCGCGGCTGCTCTGTGGCCGCGGATTACTAGCCTACCACCAAAGATACTACACTAAAGATGATAAGTTCAGCAAGCACATTGGTTCAAACGAACATAGTAAGCTACCACTTTACTTAACTATGTTGATTGAATACATAATTTGAACAATCACTTGCGATTTCCTTATGGTTCAATTCTAAACTAACTCACCAAATCATCACGAAACTCAAATTAAAACCGTATGACAAAACATCACATACTTGTACTAACATAACCTAAACACTGAAGACATAACCTATGACTGAGGAAGTTGTTCATCAGCAAATACCAATTAACAATCTACAGGTTTATCACTTCCAGCAATTATAGATCCGCAGTCTAGTCTCGGACACTCGGACTCCACGGTACGCCTGGACGGCCACCCTAGCCTTGGGATGTCCTCCCTCTAGGCCAGTCGCCCGTGAACTCCGCGCTTCCTAGCCGCTCCGGGAGCCGCATACCAACGACCGGCGGCGGCGAGGTCCACGATGTGCGATAGCTCCGAGGGAACTAACCCTGAAGGATTGTCTAGAAGAATATTTCTTTCAAGTTACCCGACAAGGTTTTGTCATTCATTCACGTTTATGTGTAGACGAGTTTTGAAAATCTAAACAATCAATCACTCTTTATATCTAAACAATGTATTACATTTGATAGGCTATTTTATTTGAAAACATATAAAGAAGTCTCGAGTTTTTTTGTGTTTACAACACACATGGAAGATGTATAAACCTTATAAATCATTTGTATACAATTTCAATTTTTTATACATTTTTTTTATTTAGTATTTCTGTCAGATACATGTAGAGTGGTGGACATTCACGAATGTATTACTCAATGTTATTATAGCTGTTTCAAAAGTAATATGACTGGAACGATTTATATGTAAACTTGTCAATTTTTCTCTAGTATTACATCAATGGAGGAAAAGACACACTGTTAAATGTAGACTCAAATATCGCAAAAATGGCTTGAGAACTTACAATAGAATGAAAAGGCCACTTGCAGTATCCAAAGCAAATGGTTACTTGTAATGAAATCCTTAAAACAAGTATCGTAAAGATTTTACCAGTTTTTATCCACTTACTCGACTAACTTTGTAAAATAAAGATTTTTCTATAAATATTGTATTTTTCACGACCTTAAAAATGTAATATCGGCCCACCGTAAAGTGCCTCTACAACATAATCATCGTGGAAATTTCCTTTGAATCGCTAAAGATGTCACAACTAGAATGAACATTAAAAATTCAAATTTCGCAGATATTCAAGGTTTAAATGTCATAATCAAGGATGGTATTTGCATACTATATTTTGCGAGAACTCAATGGCCTTATAAGATAATGTCGTTTAGCGTATGTTTTTTTATACCTTTAAAAAATAGGTCTTATGTTTTCCCATACGATTTCGTACATTCGTCTCTTTGTCTTGTCTCTAACTTACAAGAAGCAATATTACTATGGGAGATAATTCTTTTCTCAATCTTGAAGTAAAACATTTAAAAAGTAGTGCATATTTCATTCACATTATTGTATTTGTTTCGCAATGAAGTCAATAATTATATTGTGAAAATAAAGCTTTTAATATTAGCTACCTTAACCGTGCAAAATTTGAAGTTCCAAACAAGGTCAACAAGTTTATTAAACGAATAATTTAGCTTGAGTTAGATAAATCAGAAAGTGTCAATGTTCGATTAAAACAAATTAAAACCAGCAAACTAATTTAGATTTAACAGATTAGGTTGACAAATAACGAAATTGACCTACAATGTCAAACAATATTCTTACACAACTTGTAAAACCAGTGTTAAACTAATAACCTTAACTATTATTTTAATACGTAGTATAGTAATACCATGCAATTTAAACATGTACTGTAGGCCTACCGGTAATGTACGATTAGTTTCTCAATTTTTGTACTATTGAGGTTTTCATTTATTTTTTAACGGAAAAACATAGTTACGTTGTACAGTAATTAACTTATAAATATTTCTTTCTGTATTATACCAAATGTAATCCCTACTTTATATTTCTGTGTCCCATATCGTTCTATCCCGACACTTATTATTCATAACATAAACAACGACATTTCAGTATTCATTTTGTCCCAGTTCGAGTTTATAATTTTTCCAAACTATCTTGTTCTTTTCCGTCGCCCATTTAGTATGATTGCCTGGTTTAATAGACCGGTATAGCGGCCGATGAGTGAGTTAGTGAGTGAGAGAATGAGTTAAGTTTCGCCAACAGGTGATGCTAAGTGAACGGTAAGGTGGAGGGGAGTTACCTCCACAACACAAACACAAACTCTTTAACTCAGTCTTTCCCGAGCAACGCCGTCGATATGAGGCATTTTTGGCTTGTAAGTTTGTAAAACTATATACGACAAGTATAAGGTAGAAATTCAGTAGCTGCCACTAAATTTAAGCGCAAATTGGGTCATGTTAGGTTAGGGTATTTTTTAAATTGATATCTTGGAAAAATTATAAAATATATATTTTTTGAAATCATGGAAATAAATAATTATTCTAACCTTGCCTAGGGCAACTAACTAGTTTTACAAAACTACAATTGATTACATAGTATAATTAATTACATGTAGGGCATTGGTTTTATTGTGTTGTTTGTTTAGTTGTCTTTGTGAAAAACTGTGTACAGTCCATGTTATCACCTTGCTTTATACAATATAGCTGGTCATATTATCCATGTTGTCACATTTATCAATATGACTAATAAATTGAGATTACATTAAATACCTAAAGGACGGACTTTAAATTATTGTTGAATTAAGCATACAAGTATACTATGAACCTAAGATTGGAAGTTCACGTTTTCTTAAACATGTTAAATATATTTAAAACGTCAATGATACTATGATAAAATTTAATTGAAGCATGGTATTAACAAGGATATTTTCAGAAGGTCTACTTTATGACGAACTCGATCGTCAAAACGATCATACGCTGTGCTCCAATCAAAATGTTTTTGTTTTTTTTTTTTTTTAGAATATAGTGTAACAGCTTTAGTTGAATTTAAGTGTAATAAATTTAAATGATTTGCAGTTTAAGTTGTTTTTGATGTAAATCGTATTGAGATAAGTTCCAGTTTTAGCGAGTAATACAATAATTCTGTGTTAAGCAACAATGAACAACGCCTCCTTGATTGTTAATTACCGTGACAATTAATTATTGTTTACAACTGACAGTCAAAGTACTCCGACACGAGTTTTTGCTGCAAACTATTTATGTTGTATAAAATCAATTGAAATTTGAAGTACATGCCAACACGCTAAACGATACGAATTCTAATTTTGTAAATTTTGTTAACTCAGTATTTAATTCCTTTGATTTTAGTTGTATCATAGTTCTACAATCTAACAAATAATAGTTAATAGATTCATTATAAAATGTATTTAACAATCGTTTGCATTAGTCCAGGTTGATCCTTTTCCCCCCTTTTCTTGACTTACCAATATAGTATAGTTTGGAAATTTTCCCATATACATACTGGATAAAGATAGGGGCCTTTCTTGTTTTTCTATAGTTTATGCCATTGGTGTATTGTTTTGCTAAGAGGTTTATCAGATATATTTTCAGCTACTACACATTATTGGGTTACAATAATTAACCAACAATGCAGGTCCTGCATTATTCTAGGTTGTTAAAATTGATAGTACATTTTACATAAGTGAGAAATTCCTTTGGAACAATAAGATTGTTGTAATTGTAGCGTACAGTTATCAGAACCTCTGGTCATAGTCGATGTTGAGAAGATTAATCGACGAAATGTGGACGTCTTAGAGTGGTTAAGTCAAATCAAATCAATCAAACACGTTAAAATTAGTTTAAATAAAAGATCTACTTACAATAATTTGTGCTTAAACCATTTTAAGGGGAGTCTGTGCAAATAGTTGACAATTAATGGAATCAAGGTCACAACACGTATCGAACTTTTTTGCTGTTGTGATAAAACTAAAACAGTACAACCATTTTTTTTAATTTTACCTCACGCAAATAGCTGTTTTTACTATAACAAACTAACCCCGCTTTCTTATTCAATATTAGTTGCTATTCTGTGCAATTGAAGTAAATGAATGCGCAAAATTTTGGACGTCCACGGGGTGTAGCCCGTGGTTATTTTAAGGACATGAATAAACCTACGTTTGCCGGGTTCATGACCTATCTTTGTGCAAACTTTCGGTGCAGTCGGTTTTGTGGTTTCTATATTTACCCTGAACAAACTTACAGATAGACACACACACAGACGCAAACTATCTCTCATAATATTGATTGTTGTTGTTGTTTCAGGGGAAGACGATACGCCCCACAATCACAGAGTATGACCCCAAGAAGAGAACAGTTCGCACAGAGCTGGGGGACCTGGTGCTGGTCAAGTAAGTTTCATCGTTAACATCTCGTCTTTAACTACAATATTATTACCAGGAGCCAACCAGTTTATCGATAAAAAAGTTGTTTTTCGATCTCCTGGTTTTTTATCAGCAGGTTGTAATTGTTTTGATTAGTTTGATTTTTAACGACTGTTCTGGTGGCAACGGCTTTTTTTATACCAATACTAGCTTTTGTACCCGTGCTTTGCAACGGGAAGAGGACCTGAAATAGAAACATTTTGATCTTAAAATCTGTTGAATAAAATATACACATCCGCCAACGCTTTTACAAACAAAATTCAACCCTAATGGCCTTTGTGCTCAATGTGGAAAGGGACCAGGTTTCTGCACTGTATGTAACAACAGACCTAATTAGAGTTTTGAATACCTTCATCTTTGTCTTGGGGGTCATCAGATTGGATTTGAGGTTAGCGTAATGGGAGGGCTGGAACTGCACTCACGGTCAGTCCCTGGTCCTAATCCAACTACGGAACTGCACTCACGGTCACTTTGAGCCTTTCTGGAGGTACTGGAACTGCACTCACGGTCAGTTTTTAATTAGCCTATATCACATTTTGCAACACCATGATTGAATTGATTAAAACTTATTAAATTAGTTGAAATATATTGAAAAGTTTTGATTAAATTAATCTAAACGTCAAAAAATAAACTTACTACTGACATTGAAAAAAATATACATATATATGTGCACAGAAAATTATAGCATAGTATTACCAAAGATTACATAGCATATGTAATCTTTGGTATTACCGATAACATGATAGGCTATATTCTTATTATAACGAAACTTCTTTTGTAAAGGTTAGGTTAGGTTAGGTTAGGTTAGGTTATTTATTGTTGTATTTATTGGGACAGACACTAAAACGTGTATTAAATAAAGTATTGGATAAAGTAAGACAGAGGACGGAATAAACAGATGACTAAGGGGCTAGCGAAGCGTTCAGCCGTGAAAGACCGATTTTTGACCGTGAGTGCAGTTCCATATGGCTTAAGGTGCATTGTCCCTGAAGCGACTCTTGCGATAGTAGCTGAGCGATAGTAGCTCAGCGATAGTAGCTGAGCACTGGTTAGCGTTGTTTCAAATGGGACCATTGTCCTTGACGCGACTGCGACTGGAGCGGCTAGCGGCTGAACACAGCGACTGTAGCGGGTCTGCTCTGAGGGCAGTCAGAGTCGCAGTCGCTGAGCGATTCGTGTTGTGTGTAGACTTGTTTTGCTCGTAATGTCTTCAAAGAAAACAAACAAAACTGTTTTTTACCCCTAAGAAGATATCAGATATGTACGTAATATTAAATCGCTACTATTATAAATCATAAATGAAAATACTTTTTAAAAATGCAACGTTTTTAAGCGCACTATAAAGTAAAAAATAATTTATAAATATGTGGGGAGAATAAATACTTGTAAGATTAAAAAAAAACGTGGGCACATGCTGATTTACAATTATCTTTACCTATTGAACTATTATTATCTATTGCATGCACCCCACGTTTTTAGTTTTAAATATTTTAAGTATTTCCTTCCACATATTTATAAATTATTTTTTACTTTTTAGTGCGTTTAAAAACGTGGCATTTAAAAAAAAGATTTTTATTTATAATTTATTTTCTACTTTTTAGCCTTTAATGTGTAAATATGTTAAATCTATTTTATATGGCCTGTTAATACATACCAAACCCTTATTATCTGAAGTGATATGTTTTATATTTCCTTTGAACTGCTTATTTTATATTTAGAATCTCTCGGGAGCAGAACCTGTACCTCTACCCAAGCTTTTCGAACTGTCGAATTTAAGTATTTACGGCTGACTTCAAAATGTAAACATGGAAAATTTGGAAGCCCATGGGGCTTAGCCCAAGGAAAATATGAAAATTAAATGTTATAGTATTACATTGTCATCCATTTGTGAGCTGTGTTCTCTAGTTTCATTTCTCTAGCTCGTCGGGAAGTTAGTTTAAAATTTATTGCAAAGTTTGTAGCGGACAAAAAAGCGAGCTAGTAAAAACGTTTTAAAATTAGGAGGTGTCATGGCACTCATAGCACCAATTAACTCGAAAGTCAGCAAACTAATATACAGAATCGCTCTAGAACAATCGCTTCAGGGACAATGACATGGTTAGCTACTATCGCTGAGCTACTATCGCTGAGCTACTATCGCTCAGCTACTATCGCAAGAGTCGCTTCAGGGACAATGCACCTTTAGGCGGGCTACCCTTCCAACCCTTGTAAATTCCTTTGACCGTGAGTGCAGTTCGTTGTCAGCCAGCGTAATATGCTCTGTTACCAGCCATGATTCAGTTTGTGATTTTTTGTGCAACAGTGTTTTTGCTATTCAGCTCTGCCCCAAAGTAAACAAACCTATCCACACTCTTATCACATTTGTTTTATATCTTTAGTACATATTATTTAATTTACAAATGAAATTGAGTGTTTAAGATGGCAGACAAAACTAATTATTATCAAAACATCGGAGGACAAAAAAATTAATAGTAATAGGCATTAGGTATATGTTTCATTGCATCTATTATTTTTCTCAAAAAAAATTCAACGAACAACATAATATAGAAACCAGTTCTTTTATTTAGTTCCATAGTCTACTGCCTTTACATTTTCACACTTACCATTAAGTAAACATAATAACAAATATTTCATTGATTTTAGAAACAAAAGAACACCGTGTACAGCTAAGTTTTATGATATTTTCCTTAGTTTGATTTAATCAGTGGTGTAGAAAAACACAACTACTAAATTTACCTAAATATAAAAAAATCTATGTGAAGTGCAAGTTGTTTATCCAACACATTTTAAGCAGTTCGAATTTATAAAAAAAATCCTCCAAATTCATACAAACCATCTATACACTGTAATTTGCATACTGTTTCCATGAAAACATACCAATAACATTATTTTCATAACTTAAGACGCTTTAAAAAATCCAAAGCAGAGCCGGAGTTGATACAGCAACGGTTATAGAATCTTTTTTTTATAATCATTGACATAGTTTTAGAATAAATAATCCATGATAAAACTTAATATTAAAATATACCTCATACATAGTTATGGAAAATATTATATTTAATTTCTTTGTATCAGCTGTCTGAAATTGTGAAATATGCAATTTAGCAGTTCTTCTTGTTTAAATTGAAATGTCAAAGCAAATGTAAACAAACATTATAGTGTTCTCATCGCATCCATGGAGACAAATCAATATTTACTTTTAAAATCCTCACCTCAGAAGTTTTAAAGCCAAAGGGGCAAAGCCCATGGTCAGTATCAAAGTGTGAATAGTCCTATAATGGTCCTTGGTATGGTAGCTATATTATTGTAAAATTTAAGCCCAGTCGGTTCAGTAGTTTTTGAGCCTATTAGTAATACACATACAGACAGACACCATTAGATTTTTATATAATAGTATAGAAGTATAGATATCACGAATGTATTCGTGCAATATATTATTTGAATATGTTTAAAATTCTGTTTTTAGAATTTGACATATTATAAATCAAAATGTTACGGGAACGGGATCTCAATCCACAATGCTGTACTCTCAGAGCACAGAAAATGCTCAGAGCTACGAATTAATTTAGGCTACCCGCGATTTCACAGCGAGTTCATCCTTGACTCCTATAGTTTCGGTCCCCCGCCGTGACAACTAACAGCTGATTGTTATCAACAATTACATCATCAACAGCTGATTCTGTACAGTATGTGGGACAGCTAGCAGGGCTGTAGTGCTGTAGTGTTTTGCTATACAGGTTCGAGCTATGTATATCTCGGACTGGTCGTCCTTCGCTTTCGCACTTCCCAGGTTCTTGCTGATGATAAAACGCCGTTATAGGCTCCCTGCCAATGTATTACGTTTACGATGTTTTCATGCCTTGTTGCCTTCTGTTGGATGAAGCTGTAAGAATTACGTCAAAGTTATTGTGAATAATTGTTATGCAAAGTTGCGTAATGGAGTTAGACCAACAATGGTAAGATTACCTTGGAATACCAACACCAAGGCTAGTCAAAATAAAATCCCACACTATTTATACATTTTAAGAGAATCTCAGCCTTGTCTACGGAAGTAAAAAACTCTCATTCTAAAAGAAGAAAAGGGGTTTAGGTTTCCGATATCTAAAAAATGTGACGAAAGAAACAAAAAGAAGATTATTGAAATTTCAAAGTTTTGTATTGTATCTTCTTCTTCTCACTAGATTTTCTTTCTTCGCAAATACTTTGTAGGGGGTTGATAATGAATACCATTAAACCAATATTTTATATAGCCTAGAATGATTTGCCATAAGAATTAACAGGATTTGAGACTTTGTGCTAGATGAAATTATTGAAAACATCAAAATACATAAAATAAGCAACGTCAAAAGCTATGTGCAGTAGGTACTACCATATTTTGTATTTTGTTGTTAGACGTAAAAGGAGCAATACATTACATTACATTTCCAGTGTGAGTAAAAATCATTAGATTTTGTAAGATTATCATGTAATGCAAATATAAGATACAATTCATGATCAGCTACCGGTACGCAGTAGAACCTATAGTATGACAACCACAACTCAAATCCGACCTACATTTCAATATTTCAACTGACAAGGTTTCCTTTTAAGGCGCTACTTCACCACTTTCTTGACACCCAATATTCGCACATAGAGTTCAACTCTTTTGACAACGTTTCATTATAAATATTAAGAATCATTTGCCAATATGCAGCTTTCTCTACATAATTTCGCACCATGACTAGCAGAGCATCTAGCGGCGATCAGATGAAACAGCCGCCGGCACTGGACATGTGATTGAGAAGGTCATGGCATCAGAAGGCGGGAACAGCTGACATTGTTGTCGAGATTGGAAATGCCATAATGCTATTGTTGAGTTGCAACACTGTATCCGTTTCTACTTTAACCAGATGGTTTATTGATTGGGAGTGAATTAACTGGTGTTGATTTTTTTGGGACTTAAAATTAGTGGGCGTTATAGATTATTTGTCATTTGGGGGTGCACAGTGCCTGATTGAATGGGTGATGAAGATCATTTTAATCTGGGAATGAGGGAACTTAAGCTTTTTCAAATAAAAAAATTAATAAAAATAAAATACCAGTATAGCAGGCATCAGTTATATTGTAGAAAACTAATGGAAACAGGAATATGGATGCCTCAGAGATTACTGAGGTGGTATACACAAGACAACAAGACACAAGTGTTCAAGAACATGCTCAAAATTTATGTATACCTAATTTTTTTACTTTTCCTAATTTTTAATGTTAGTTTTATTTTTTATTTTAATTCAATGCTTTTTTTCATTTTGAGGTCCCTAGAGGCCAAAAACACCATCCATTCAAATTCACATATATGTGTGTCCGTTAGTGCGATAACTCAAGCAAAAATGATCCGATTTTGATGAAATTTGGTACAAACGTGTAAACCTACGTTTATTCGAACGAGTTAGCGATCCAGCATAATCGGACCATGGGAACGGAGGTTTATGGAGGGTTTTATGGGGTAAAAATGAGGTTTTCCCATTTTTGACCCTAAAAACAAAATTTTATCAATTTCTTTCCAAACCATTTTGTAGAGCTTAAAAACAAATAATTTAGTATATTGAAGCGTTGTTATGCGCCTAATGGTTACGGAGAAAATTCTAAAAAATTGTAAATTTTAAATTCTCATGTTATTCTTATGGAGAATAAGTAAACTGTTGTAGTTTGCTTGTTTATGAACATATTTTGATCAAATTTGGAAAATGTTTTTATTTCTTACTAACTATTAACATTTTACAAAAAAAACTGTTTTACCCTCCCTGATGCAGCAAACCTAAGTACTTGTTAAACTAATTCTATTTAAATCGGGAATAAATGTTATATTTTTAAGTAGACATTTCAGTGTAAATCCAATCAGTCAAATGGAAATTCGCTTAGTCTGCAGGTTTGCTGTGGCGGGGGTATTTATTTAGAGTTAGTTTTATTTTTTATTTTAATTCAATGCTTTCTACGTATAGCTTTTTTCATATTATCAGAGTGAAATGTCATAATACTAGCAGGTACCCACTATATTAGGTAATGTATACTGTAATTTGTGGTGAACTAACTTACCCATTATCCTACCAACATTATAAATATACAGCAATTTTTTGGGTTTTAGCGAATTTCCCATATAGGGAATAAGCTATTACCGTAGTACTCATGGTAAGACCTGGACCCGGGACCGATTTAATTTTTCATGTTGAGGTCCCTAGAGGCCAAAAACACCTTCCGTTCAAATTCATATACATATGTGTGTCCATTAGTGCGATAACTCAAGCAAAAATGATCCGATTTTGATGAAATTTGGTACAAACGTGTAAACCTACGTTTATTCGAACGAGTTAGCGATCCAGCATAATCGGACCATGGGAACGGGGGTTTATGGAGGGTTTCATGGGGTAAAAATGAGGTTTTCCCATTTTTGACTTAAAAAACAAAAGATTTTGCAATTTCTTTTTCAACAGTTTTGTAGAGCTTAAAAAAGAAATAATTTGGTATATTGAAGCGCTGTTGTATGCCTAACGGTCACGGAGAAAATTCAAAAATAGTGTTAGTTAAAATTCCCATGTTATTTTTATGGAGAAAATGAAAATTGTTGTAGTTTACTTGTTTATGGATATATATTGATAAAATTTGGCAAATTTATTTATTTCATCCTATACTATTGACGTATGGTCAAAAAACACTTTTAATCTTCCCCGTAGCAGCAAACCTAAGCACTTGTTAAATATCTAATGTTATTTAAATAGGGAATAAATACGTCTTATTTATGGAAATATTTTAGTAAAAATGTAATCAGACAAGTTGAAGTTTGCTTAGTCTGCAGGTTTGCTGCGGCGGGGGTATTGGAATATAGCGAATATAACACAAACAATTATATTCAAGTGTCTAATTAATAAAAGACTGTATCAAACTGTATACTAATGTATGCATGCTGCTCATGGTGTAAACATAGTACATGAAATTAGTACCGGTATAAAGAGGTCTTTGTAACTTAGATTTTCAATTTTAATGGGATATGTACAAGTGCCAACTGTCTTTGACATAACAAAAATGACTCAAGAATCAGATAACATAAAAAAATAATATTTTAATCTTCAGTCAACATCTACATATTTTTTTAAACAAACTGGAGTAGACAGCTTGAGGAAAAGATGTGGACCCAGATTTGACCTTGGCAATGATGTTTGACCTTCACCTTGCCAATACATCATTGTTGTACAACTTTGTTCTGCTTCTTCTCCTTTCCTCTCCTTTCAATCCCTGAAATTGCTCCCTCGACACTTCTTACAGCTTCTTCATAGTTTATTGGCAAATAGAAAAACCATTGGTGGACCTTGTGTATTGGCATACACCTTGACCTTGTGTATGCTAAGATACATTGTACATACTAAATATGTATCTCTTCATTATGTGAAGTATGTAGTTAAAATATTTACTTTGTGACTGTTAAAAGAAGGATTGATTTTTCACATAGATGACTCAAGCCTTATATATCCTGTGTTTTAAAAATGTACCAAAAGAAAATACAAAGAGTAAAATTACGTTAAGACTCATTAAATTACTGCATATGGAAATCGAGCACTGGACAGAATTATTCTTCATAGTAATCAAATATTTTCTATTGTCGTCTTTCCTTTGACAAAAGTTTTAAAATGTAGATAGACATATTCCATTCTAGCATAGAGGCATATGTAAATCATGAGATGATACAGTAAAAGAATAAACTGATATTATTAAATATCCGTACCAGGACCCAAACCCAACAATTGCTGCCATGGTTTCACAGTCCGCACCAGTGCATTATATGAGTGGAGAAAGAATAGTTTTTTTATTAAAATATTTACAATGCAAGATACGGTATTTAAGTTATTTGTTTTTCAGGTACAAATGTGCCTCCAACCATGTGCCGGTGACTATGACCAACGGCTCTACCCTGCCCTTGGTGGACACCACTAGCAAGGATGCTGAGGCGGGGGGATACAACCCCTTCGAACACCGACGCGTCACTCACCCCACCACGTATGTATCATCTACATTGTCGGGATGGTAGACAATAATAGATTATGGGTATTTTAAGATAATATCTATATGATAAACATGAGTATGGAGCATAGACTACTTCAGTATCACAATAATGTCCATACACCACAAGTTTGATTGTAAATGTATTTGGTAATGGTTATGACTAATCTCTTGAACACAACAGCTTGGTTAATTACCTTATCACTTATACATTGATGTTTATTGAATATGTTTAAGCTAAAAAATAATGCAGCGTGAGGGTAGAATGGAATGAGATGATCTGTTTAGCTTTATTACTGACTAATACCAGCTGTTTCTTTAGCAAAGGCCATTTATTAATGGTCCAAAAATCAAGCACGGCTGGGCTCAGTTTCAAACTACAATATTTCAACCTACTGCGTTTTTTCTTTTTTTTTCAAGAATCGGTGATCTGATAATACGTTACCACTGCCCTATAACCTGGAACACCAAGCTTTTGGTTGTGATATTTTTATTGTAATCAAGTTCAAGTTCACCTAGAAATCTCATGAAGTTTGGTGTTACAGGTGTTACACTCATTCTTGATTTTTTTGACAACACCTGTTTATAGCAAGTTTCCTTCTATTTTTTTAAATGCAATAAGGGTTCTAAGGATTTATATTTTTAGTTATTGCTACTTTACAAAATCTCCGATACAGCATAGTGTTGTGGCTTTATTAATTTTGTCTAGTCTTTGTATCTTAATGTGGTAATTTTATCTGTTTCATAATAACTCTCAGCCTGATAGAACAAATAAAACTGTTTTGAGAATACATAGTGAGTGTGAGAGGGAAGCGAATATTCTTTGATAATTAGTACCTAAGTTGTGAAATTACTTCAAATAATTTGTTGATTTGTCACCTTACAGAGACACAGAAACCCTGATCCACTTGTTGAAGGGCAGTTTAGGCACAGGGATCCTGGCAATGCCTGCTGCCTTCAGGAACGCTGGGCTCTTCTTCGGACTCTTCGCTACCTTCATCATCGGCATTGTTTGTACATACTGCATACATATTCTGGTAAGCTGGATTCATGTTATTTTGTCATGTGTAAAAATCTATATTTCTCCCACAAAATCATCTGGTCATTCTATAAACCTAATGTTATTTAAATAGATTTAACTAGTGACTTGTAGGGGCAATAGCCCCTATATTCTAGTATTATAATTTTTTTCAATTTATATAATCACAGCTGTGTTTACACTAAATAAAAAGACATAAAATTAGATTCCCATGCTATTTAAATGTGAATTTTTTTATTCCGTAACAACCTTTTGGTGCATAATTAAGAAAAATGAATAATTTTCCCCAAAATTTCATGCACAGACCTTTAAAATGAGACCTCTTCCAGCTTTCTACGGCCTCCCGTTCGCTCACAATTTCATTGTAAAATTTTGGGCTTACGGAATTAGATATATAGATTTAAAATCAATTCAGACAAATGGATATTCGCTTAGTCGGCAGGTTTGCTGCGTTGGGGGTGTTATCAAAGTCCAACTTATGCTATACAACATAATGGACTAAACTTCAGCTGAGACGTTATAAATATTGGTAGTACAGGTGGTTTTAAAGAAAAAATAGTCACAATTTGAAGAGTGGGCGTAGGGAGGGGGGGGAAGGTTCAGAAAAATGTGTAAAATATTCAGCTACCCATCTGAGCTATTCTCACTACTCCATCTGTGTTAACTCTTACTATAGTTAATACAGTCTGTGCAAACACAAAATGAAGGTAGTCATTTGAAAAAAAACAACTCTAGTTTCAGTATATCAATAGCATAATAAGAAACTTTTTACATATTTTAAATAATTTGTACTGTGTTTTGTCATATCAATAGTGTGCCTTCATATAATATTTGGCCATCTTTAAATAGGTATAGGTGGACCCCAATAATTATCCCTAGTGTAAAAAGAAACATTTGGTTTTAACCAGTAATTATTTAATCTTGTGTTTTTTTCTGCATCCGTTGAACCAAACAAACTAAAATGTGTTTAATGTCCTCAGGTGAAATGCGCTCACAAGTTGTGCAGAAGAATGAAAGTTCCTTCCCTTGGCTTTGCGGATGTCGCTGAAGTAGCTTTCCTTGCTGGTCCTCCCAGTATACAGAAGTTTGCCACATTGTCAAGGTAAATGGGCTTCAATACAGGTTGCTGACATTCACATACATTATCAGAATAGTAATTTATGCAATGAATGCGTAAAGATAGTGTTGACACGAGTAGAAAATTTAAGGTACTTGGCGAGAGCCTTAAAAACTTCTACGAGTGACTTCACCCTAGACACCAGCACTATATTGCTAGACACAAACTTAAGTGTACCATGGAGTGTATCCTCTGTTCCCTACTTCTCTGTGTTTATATTTAGTTTGATCATTTCAATTCAATACGACGATTCTTTGATGCTGCGACACACTCTGGGGTATGTATTTTGAGTTTATTGTAGAATAGAGTGATATTACTAAGACAGGCTGTTTCTTTAATTTGGTTATGTTTTACAGGTTTCTTGTCAACTTATTCCTGGTAGTCGATCTTCTTGGATGTTGCTGTGTCTACATTGTTTTTGTGGCAAAGAATGCTAAACAGGTAATTTCGGCCTGTTGGCTTTTTTTATGAATGGCATATCTTACTATATTGATATTATGAATGTGAACGTTGGAGTGTGTCAAATTGTGATTCACGGTAAAACTACTGGACGAATTGAGCTGGATTTTGCAGGAGCAGAGCCAATATACCACAGATGGACAAGGGCATATTTTTTTATTGAGGGCTCTGCCCACTAGCTTACAAATATTCCATTTTATTCTCATAAATACACTTACCATTATAATTAGTCTATTAACCGGCTGTTTGATAAAGTTTTTGTTTGCGTTTCATTCACATTAAGGAAATTTGTGTGTTATTTTGTAATAGGGCTATACTATGTTTAATAAAAGAAAAAGAATTACAAGTTTCATAAAATTTTGCTTATAGTTTACTAAGAAATGTATATAATAAGCTACAAGAAAAGAAACATGACTAAATTTGAATTAAATGAAACCAACTTGATGTAATGTAACATCAATATCAAGTACCTGAAAGGTGCCCTTTTTAATCTGGTTATATTGTTCTTATGTCCCTGATGCACAATTCGCATCAATTGCACCATCTTCAGAGTATTAATTTAAAACTAAATGTCACTATGTACAAATGTTTGAAAAGTACTATTGTTTATTTCCATCAATGAGCAATTATACCGGCTGGTATATGGAATTATGACGGGTGGTCGATTGCAGGTCACTCTTCCATCACTGACAACCAACAAAGTACTGATTGGGAGATCTAGACATTTTATAGACACAGTTGTGTTGTTCCAGGTCATAGACGTCAATCTAGAAACAGACATAGATCTGAGGTTGTACATGTTGGCGCTGCTGCCGCTGTTGATCTGTATGAACCTGATCCGCAACCTCAAGTATCTCGCCCCGTTCTCCATGGTCGCCAACATCCTGATTGGGACAGGGATGGGAATCACCTTCTACTACATCTTCCAGGACCTTCCCCCTGTCACGTCACAACCAAAGTTCTCATCCATGGCTCAGCTGCCGATCTTCTTTGGAACGGCCATCTTTGCCCTTGAAGGAATTGGGGTGGTGAGTATTATCACATGTTATAAGAAAAATACTTCAGCTGCAGCAACATGGTACATCTACTGAAATGCGCCGACTGCCGGGGGAACTTTGTTTGATACAGTAGAATAGAATGGGAATAAATTTTGACTTTTGATCAAGTGTTTTTTTTGTTATTTTTTTTTTTTTTTATAAAGAGAACCTCTCATTAAAAAAATTGACATAATGATGGAAATAACCGTATGCATTTTTCTTTGCAATTGCCAATTGAAACATATGCTCGAATTATGAGTCTTACCAACTTTGGAGTATGGAACTATATAATTATTACTTGCACCTCTGGGCATTGCGTGTCCAATAAAAATCACGGTTTACCACGGATTGGATATTGTACCTGGAAAAACTTGATTTGTCTGTTTGAATTCTGTGTAAAAATAGGTAGTTCATCCTAGTTGAAAATATTTTTATTGGCCACCATTAAAAAAATCAGCGGGTGGTTTTAAATTTTTAATTCATTAAGTTTTAAAAACAAATGAAAATGTATATGAGTTTCTATTTTGACATGTGAATTGATGTTACTTTTCTAACTAATGAGTTAAAGTGGTTCTAGTTGCACAACTCGTAGATCTATCACTCTAAGTCCACTGTCATTTTGTATTGTGGTACAAATTTTATTTAATTTATCTTGTCAAATATTTGATTTTTTTTATGTTTTAATGGTTCAAAAATCTGTAAATTGCAGTGTCGCAAGGTAATCCCAAAGTAACATGAGCTGAATCCTTCTCTAAAAAGACTCATCATTCTCCATGAGTTTAAAATTAATAAACCCGTTCTTCACTTCCCGTGAACTTTGTAGTTTCTAGTTGTTGTGATGAAATGATTAACACAATGACAATAGCAGAGGCAATGGATTCATTTGAGCGTTGTAGTCTGGGTGTTTCAGGTGATGCCTTTGGAGAACAACATGAAGACTCCGACTCACTTCATCGGCTGTCCTGGTGTTCTCAACACGGGAATGTTCTTTGTGGTTTTGCTGTATTCCAGTGTCGGGTTCTTTGGTTACCTCAAGTATGGAGATGCCACGGAACCAAGCATAACACTAAACTTGCCTGACAATATGTGAGTATTTTAGAAACCGTTTAACATTTGTAGAGCTTGTAGGAAAGTAATCTAAAAAATTACAAACTTTATACTATATGTAATGTTTACCTTTGACAGTATTTGATCAGTTTGAAGTGAACTATAAACATGAAGTGTGCCAGTGTGGTATATGCTCTGTATTATAATGCTGTTTCCAAAATAATGAAAATCTATGACAGTATTTAAAGAAAAACATGAATTGAAATTTTGAACCTTTTGAAGAGTTTGTTGAAAACCAGTGTTCTAGTGTATTTTCTCATGACAGTTACAATTGATTTCCAATTTTAATTACTTCTATGAGGACAGAGTAAGGTGTTCATATGAAGATTATTCTGTTTTGTTTTGTAAAAAAAAAATACACTTAAAAAAAGTAAGAGCGATTCTTTTTCTAATCAGGATTCAAAGTGAAAAAAACGAAGTGTGTGAAGCTGTTAAACTTTTATTTTTACATTTTTTTATTTCACAGTTAATGTTACAGAAAAGTGCTATAGTTTAAGGTTAATGGTGAAAATATAAGCCTACATTCTCTTCCCCTCTGGTTATTTCAAGGCGCTGACTATAAGCTTCTCCATATTCTCCAATCTTCCACATTTTCCTTCCTCCATGAACTATTATTTCTCTCCTTCCTTCTCCTCATCCATCCCTATACCCCTCCCATATCCACCTTTTTCTATGTCTTCCACTTGGTCTCCTTCCTCTTTATCACTTAATTTCTCTAGAAATCCTTTCTTCTCTAAACATTCTCTCACATTTTCTCACATTTCCAAACAAAACGATCTCTAATCCTATTATTTCAATCTCCCTCTGTAAATTTCCACATATTTTAATGATAACTAGATTGTATAATCATATAAGGTTACCTGATTGTGGTACACCCATCAACCTAAACTCTCCTTGTTACAGTTTGGCACAGTCAGTAAAAGTGATGATAGCAGTAGCCATATTTCTGACGTATTCTCTGCAGTTCTACGTTCCTATGGAAATCATCTGGAAAGCAGTAAAGCACAGGTTCACCAAACACCCTGCATTGGTGGAGTACAGCATCAGGATTGTCCTTGTCATCATGACAGGTGGGTTTAAGCAGGCATGAGTTTATTTTGCTGTGGTTTTAGCACATCACGAGTCAGCTGTTCAATAAACCTAACCTTAAACTTAATTTTTACGTTGTAATGTAGGTTTGCTATAATACATTTGTTTTAAGCTTTAAAATTTGAAATAATGATTCTTCTCACTGCAGTGTTAGTTTTTAAAAATTCTTTCTGTAAGTGATTTGGATAATCGGAGATTCGAATAGTTGAAGTTCCGATAGTTAGAATTATACTGTACTCAACTACAATGTGTTTATTTAACATAAAAGTAAACTTGAAGACTCATATTCTTCTTCACGATCCTATGGCATGAATTGATTATAAAAATTTCCATTATATAAGTTTTTATTTTTTCTGATGGTTAAGGATGGTACTGTAAATAAGGTGAAGAGTGAAAATTTTAGCTCAGAAGTTTTATAATTTCTTTAAGAACACACTTTTATCACATTAAAGTACAATTTAATTTTATCTGTTTCAGTACTGATTGCTATCATGGTGCCTAACCTGGGGCCGTTCATCTCCCTGGTAGGAGCCGTGTGTTTGTCTTTCCTCGGACTCATGTTCCCGTCCATCGTGGAGATCATTGTCTACTGGGGATCTGAGGAAGGACTCGGCAAAGGCAACTGGATACTCTGGAAGAACTTAGCTGTCATCATGTTTGGGGTTGTTGGATTCTTCACCGGATCTTACACAAGTATCCTGGAAATCATAGAGGAACACTACAAGTCCTCTTAGGACTTTTTTGTAAAGTAACTGTAGAAATGTCCTTTAGGCCTTCTGCAACAGTAACATATTGCTGAAGTCATTTTCCATCAGCTTGCTTCAAGATCAAGAAAGTGCATCCTAAAAGGTGTGCGTAAATGATCCCAAAATATGTTTATTTGTTTTTGAACGTGTAAGTAGAATTTTACTCATCTAGTCAGAATATTGTGTAGTTTCAAGAAAAAAGCCAAAGTTGAAAACTTTGTTAAAGTTTTTGGCAAAGCTGTGTAATTTGTTATAAGATTTTAATTTGTGAAATTTATTAGCTGTTAAGTTATAAGTTCCTTTTATTAACTAATCGGTGGTAACTAAACTGTATAAAAAAAGGCTTTAAAGTTTTTAGTATTATTTTATTACCTTCAGTAAACATTGAAATCCACACTGTGGTATTGTGTAAAATAGTTTGTAGCCATACCTGTATTGAAAATATCTCTTTGTTGTTACTGTTGTAAACTGCTCTAAAGGAACAAGATAAAACATTTGTGATATTGACTAAGTTAAGAGGTATCACTCTTAGAGAGTGTAAAACAAATATTTTATATGTTGACCAATGTAATGGTGTAGTTCCAAACAGCTTTTAGGGTACAAAACTCGTGTAAACTGTAGATAGCAAGACTATGTAGACTAGTTTTATGTTAAGTTAAAATATTTATGAAGCCAGTGTTTTTTTCGGTGCTTCGTGTAGTTCAAAGTTCTCTAATTTTATTTATATTGTATAACAATAAGAATATGCAATAAATTTATTTAAATATAATTATGTGTATTCTCTTTTGATTTGTATATGTTAGATTTAGATATCCAAAATGTTGTTGCTAAACATTTTTTTTTATAGTGTGGGATTCAGTTTTAGTATATCAGGAATGGCCAATGCTGGGATATGTTTTGATAGTGTTATTTATTCAGAATTTTATTTGAATGTTTATTGTACCCTATTTAGCCTAAACAGAGTCATTGTAGTATATTCAGGACTTTCCCTTGTAGGTCAGTAAAACTTACTAGAAATATTTACAGATTTACCAACTGTTATGTCTACACACAGTCAGTCTCAGCTAAAAATGATGTCATAAAATTATAAACTGATTTTAAAATTGCAAAAATTGTAATAATTTTTGTTAAACAATACAGAATCTAACATAAATACTGTGGTAGGTACTGTAGTCCAGTATTTAAAATTTAAGTCATACTTTTTAAAGTTACCTAAGAACAAATAATTAATTGTATGATTATTTACTAAACTATGTGTTAAAAAACTCATCAAAGAATTCTTGTTGTTTTTTTTACTAGAACTGAAACAAATACACTGGTATTGTGCCTTGCAAAAGTTCAATGGCAGTTCATTCAAATATTTTTTTTAAGTAGGCTACATAGGATGTATGTTCAGAAACTTCGTCCTTTATTATGTTACCAATGTAGAGAAGGAGAATTTTGTTTGAATACGGTATGCCATATATTTACTGTTTGTTACAATGCAGATACATTAGTATTAAACAATTTTCCAATTTCACTCTAAAAATATCACTCCCAATGCCATTAGTAGAACGCACAGCTATTGAATTCTTTAGAACTAATTTACAACATTGTATAAAAGTATCATTAGAACATGTCATGGCCCTATACTCTAGTAAAGTACAAATAAATTTATATTCAAATATTTTTTTACAACAAGATATTTGTGCCAATCAAGTCAATTACGATAATGTTAACGGGTAAACAATTTTTACTATATTTAAATGAAACTAAATAAAAATATCTTTGCGCCAACTTTCACAAAAGTAAAAAATGTATTTTTTTATTCATGAGCTTTTTGTGATATTAAAAAGTGATATGATACACTTTTCTGTCCAGTTTAACTGTATAATGTAAATAAATTTAAAATGAACTGCACGATTTTTTCTGGTAAATACAAACATTTTACCTAGTTTTTTGCTGTCAATAATATTTACCATTCAATTACATTCACACTATGCCAAATCCTATTAATAACTGAACTTTCATTTATAGATTTTCAGGACTAGTTTTATAATTGAAACAAATCTGTGATAAGATTTTTTGTGTTAATGTTTTTTAGTCTAAGTTTAGAACAAACCCCTTTTTAAGTAACTTATGGCAGTACTGTTGAGTAGCTCTATATCACAGCTCATTCATTACAAAAGATATATGAGAAACTTTTTTTACTGAGAATATCACAAAACTTGTAACAGTGCCACTAAACTTTTTTAGACAACTTTAATGGTGATTACACTAGTGGAGATGAGTTTGGCATATAAAATTGTCAATTGGAGATGGATGTACGAGCATTGTTGATGTTGATAGATTAAAAATGTTTCATGTTGTAGGGTTTCTCATTTTTCGAGAGACCTTTTTCCCCATTCCTTTCTCTAGTTTTCCAAGTGCAAGGTTTTTTTTATCTCTTAGTTGTTTGATATTTTTTGATAAAAATAATCTTATTTTTGCCACTTTTACTTTCTTTTAGTAACTTGTACAAATGTCCACTGCACGTAGTAATTCGAGAATATACAGCATGACTCTTTTGCTAAATCAATTTAAATCCTATTACAATTACTTTTGTAAATTTCCCAAAAGCAATACAAACATCAAAGAGTACTTTAGTTAACTCACCAACGATGGAGCATTAAAATTAAATTTAATGTGGCAAAATCAATTATTTTGAAATTTAACTACTCAGGCAATACATTCCCAAAGAAGCATTACTATCATTGGATAATAACTGGGTAGCTGAGTTGGTATAGTTCTCGCCTATACGCCTAACAATCTTAAGGTCACCGGTTTGATCCTGAGAAAATTCAGTAGCTTTTTGATGGTTCAAAACTGGACCCAGCTGTTCCTGATAATAGGACTTTAAATAATGAAACAGCTGACCTTAGTCAGTAACAAAGCTACACAGATCATATAACTTCATTCTAAATGTGTTCTAATTTCAAGTTGCAATCATACTCAGCTTGAAATACACACCTAAATGTACATGGTTGTCTCAAAGAATTAGTAATTATTGATGATAAATTAAATACTTTTATAATTTTACCCTTTTTCAACACCATTAAACATGGCTAGGGAATACATCTGACATGTGCAGCTACCTGAGCGATAAACTTGGGACTAATATGTGACACTAAAGTGTCTTGATTTTACTGGTTTTACTGGTTCTATTCGTGCAGCTGGCCACTAATTGATCAGGTTTGTTCAATAGCTGAACAGTCAAAGCAATGCTTGATTTGCAGCCAAGAGACCACATCACAGATAGGGCTTGGTTGTCGGTTATGGATCAAGTGGGGGTGTTTAAAAGCTGCACCAACTTTTAAACATGCTGCTAGTAAATTACCCCAACGAAGTCGCCATACTCGCTTCATTGCTGTTATTTCAAATGTCTTGAAAAAGTTGGCTCTGCTGACGACTCTACACTCCACTCACCACTACTATAGTTTAGCTTTTGAGGCGACTACCTACAACATGTAAACTTACTTATGCAATTGTAACTTACAGTTGCAATTGTTGCTTGTACACAAGCAGCCAATAGTCTTGATGATTTCGGAGGGATTGGGTCTTGCGGAAGTTTTAGAATCAAAAGTGAATAAGCAGTGATAAAAAAATCAACTTAATTAGACAACAAAATGCTGATCTATAAAAATAGAAGATTTTGTAAACATGACACATGAAATATATGGAAGAGCAGGCCTACAGTTTGCATGAGACACGTTAAGGGCTTAGAGATCATTGCCCACCGTCACCCTTCATTGTAGGGGGGAATTTTTATCTTCATTACTTTACTTTAATACTTTTTAATACTTTTCGATGAAATGGCAACCATACAAAGAAGGTATTTTAAGCCAAGTATGAATGGAGATGAGTGTAGGATGAGTGGCGCGATCTTGTAGTCTTGTTAGTGACTAAGTCAAAGTCAAAATTCAAAGTCAAAATTATTTATTCCATAAAATAAAAACAATATTACAATACATTGTAGTAAGTAAGAGGAATTATTCCCCCGAATAGACTATTGATCCGTGATCGGGGGAAGAGTTAACAATATCATCAGTCTATGGGTATTGTAAAATTGTTCGAGTCACTGCACTTTTTTATTTTAAACACATAAACTAAATAAATCTAAGCTCTAAACTAAATAACTGTATTCTAAATGCTAACAAAATTTTAATTCTAAAATGAGGTGAATTACTTTTTAACATTAAACACAACGTCGCACTACCCTGAACAAGATTCAGCCCATTGTATTTATTCCAACACAATGGGCTGAATCCCATACAGAAACAATATGGATTACAATGTTTTACAAGTAAAATATAAAAAAATATATATATAAATATAAAAAATGTGATCGATGACTGAATCATGACAATATCAGACGTTTGGAATATAGACCGACTGGATCAAAGCCTCTGCAGCAGCCCGCCCGATGTGCGCGAGCCACTCGCCGATCATCCGCTTATAAACAGCAACACTGCAACTCTCAGCGTCAATAATGTTTGTTGGAAGATTACGGTACAGGACGTGAGCAATATAAAATGAATTTTTGTTAGTGGTCGTAAGAATAGATTTTGGGCAACTGAAGCCAAAGTTTAAACGATTTCTTGTAGGGTACCTATGGTGAATCTCAGAAAATATTTGTTCTTTATTGGATTTAATGAATGATAATAATGTTCTTATGAAAAGCTGTCTGACGTTTAGTACTGGAAAGTCAAGGAAAAGCTGGTCTGTTGAGTAACGGAAAGGTTTTTTAAGAATTTTTTTAATCAATGATTTTTGTGAGATGAATAAGGGCTCTAACACAGCTGACGAGACGCCACCCCATGCCAGGACACTTTCCTTCCCAGGCCGACATATTCCTTAGACACAGCTGTTAATTAATTAACAGCCCATAAAGCTAATGGCAACTAAGGGACCTACTGTTTATAGTGGAATCCGAACCACATTTTTGCCTTGGTAAATATGAATTGGTCTAATTATCAGGATAGTACTGCGGATAGTCGTAGTACTCACTCGTGCGGACGTTAATCCACACCAGAGAGTATCACATCCACAGTGCATGCCTATAAATATCCACAAATCGTGACCTCCTAGTAGCTGGATTACAGGACGACGCCACCCGTCCCAGTCTTTGCGCCTACAACAAACCTAAATCCTCTTGCGACCCTGGGCCAATTTACTAAAGCGGCTCTGGCTAAAAAAGCTGAAGAACAAAGACTTTTACATAACATTTAGGGAATTACAGCTCAACTGGAAATAGTAGATATACACACCTCAAGAGCATACAGCATATTTTCTTCAAGCCATAGCTACTCTAGGCTTCTGGGTAAGTAGTGCTGAGTTTTGTATGTATGAGCTCAACAACTAGCACACTCTAGTTGATGACAATTACGTTCCAATATTCACAGGAGGCAATCACCTTGTTTTGGCGGCTGCTGGAGATGTTCAAATCACCAGTGTGGCCAAGAAACGTAATGTAACTGCCAGATTGTCTTGGACAGGTAAGGCTTTCCTGTAGTTTGTATCACGTGTCATGTTTTTTAATTTTATGTCGGATCATAAGTCACTACTGGTCATTCTCAGAAAGTTTTTCACACTCCCTTTCAGATCACCAATCAACAGATTTACGTAATCTTCTGGGAGATTATCATGTCACTGCCACTACACCTCCCTAGCCATGAGGGGTCTCACCCAATATCTTCGGGGACCTCTTGAACAGTGGCGGTCCAGGAAGGATCGCGGATGCCAGTCATATACTTTTGTATATCTGTGCATAAAGTGTATTTGAATTTATAATTAAATTGATTGTTTCAGCCGTTCAAGAGGAGTATTTGTAAAACAAAAGCAGGATAGCCAGAGGAGTGTAGTAAGAGCTCCGCTCGCTGAGCTCAATCAATGATTCTAATGACTCCCCTGGCAACCCGGTCGATATAGTTTTTGACACTCTCAGGATATTGTTATGACTCATCTATAAGTATAAAAGAGGATGTTTGTATATATATATATATATATATATATATATATATATATATATGTTTGTTTGGCAGTGATAAACTCAGACACCGCTGAACCGATTGCCACGAAACTTGGTACATACGTGTAGAATTTCATGGAATAGGTTTATACACCATCAATTTCGTGATCCGTCCAATAGGCTCCGCCCCAGTGGCTCTGGAGTTTCCCATGTTAACCTTATGAGAAATGGAATTAATGAATCTTAACAGCTGTTTCAATTAAACAAGTTGGTTCTGTTCTATGATGTTCAATAGCATTAAAGTTACAAGGATTACCAACAGGGTGCAGCACTATTATTTCTTTTACATTTATGACAACAGCTAATTTGCAACCAAAAGGTGAGTGAGCGTAGCGAACGAGCTAACCTGAAGGCAAGTGAGCGTAGCGAACGAGCTAACCTGAAGGCAAGTGAGCGCAGCGAACGAGCTCCAACCTAAAGGTGAGTGAGCGTAGCGAACGAGCTCCAACCTAAAGGTGAGTGAGCGTAGCGAACGAACTTCAACCAGGACGTGATTAAGCCATGCGAACGAGATCATCTTGAAAATTAAGAAGTTAAACGGGGCAAAGCCTGCGGGTTACAGCTAGTTTATTATAGAAACAAAAAACAAATCTGTCAGTACTGATGGTAGCCTAAGAAAATAATTACACTTTTATGAGTTTATCAATACTGTACCTGTGTACCTGCATCCATGTGGATGGATGTGTAAAACTTTTGAACAAGTTATGCCATGCCATTATACTCTTTGGAAAAGAAAAGTGTCATATTTAGATTATTTATATATTACATATTTGTCTTATTTCAGATCGAGACGTCATCCTTTGATGGACCCAAGAAAACCCACATTTATGTAGCCTTAAAATACCTCCCGAGGTGGTGTCTGTCTGTCTGTCTATCAGGGCCGCTGTCGGCGCTGTCACGGCTAATATACTAAACCCATACAGCCAAATCAAAATTAAGCACAAAAGATGGTCCACACATCTAAGAACGTCATTCACTTCCTAGGCCTATTCACTTCCTTGAGTTCCTCTCGGGCTAAGCGGCCCTTGGGCCTTGGGATGTCCAAAGTTTTGATGTGAGGTTTTCAAAAGTAAATATTTTACTAAGGGAGTATGTTTTATCTATGATATTTATTAGTCTCCATGGAAGCATTAGAAAATCCACAATGTTTACCTTTGCGTTGGCATTTCAATATAAAAAATCAGCACTCCTAAACTCTTATTTCACAATTTCAGACAGCTTTTCCAAACAATCTATCTATCTATATATTAATAGGCAAGCATGTTTCTTTAAAACCTTTTTTCTCAGCTCGTGTGCATCGTA